TTAAATCTAGCTCACTGTAAACATACTTACGAATTTGTTGAAGAAAACAGCCAGAGGGAATATCTCATCTAAGGGAGGGAAACATGTAACTGGCATATCCTTAGTTTTAGAGTTGTTCCTCTTTGATAATCCGCATTTTTTTGGTTCCGTGCATGTATACACCATGCATGGATCTAGAGGGGGGGGGGGGGTCGGGGATAGGAAGTCCGGATCCCCTGGAATTTGCAGAGTTATTAAAAGTATATATTGAAGCAAATGAAGAAATGACTATGGACCCCCGAGAAAACGTGGACCCCACTATCACCACCACGAAATAGGTTTTTTCTTCACGTTTGGGAAATGGGTTTTACCACTTTTAGGTTTTGTTTTGTTTGTTTGTTTGTTTGTTTGTTTGTTTTTGTTTTTGTTTTTTTTTTTGGCTTGTCAAGACATTTTCTGGGTTTAATACGTAATGGAAGGGAATTAATTTTTTTTTTTGAAGAATTTTTTGGGTGGAAATATGTCTTTGACTGGGTGCGGGGTGCACACACACACACACACACATATATATATATATATATATATATATATATATATATATATATATATATATATATATATATATATATATATATATATATATATATATATATATATATATATATATATATACACACACACACACCCTGGAAAAAATTCCTGGATCGGCACCTGTACACAATGTATAATAATCTCATAGGCCTAATTTACCTGAATATAAACGTAAATTAAGGTCTCTTAGATTTGTATACATTGTATGTAAGGAAGTCTTACCAAAAAAGAAAAAAGAGAGAAAGAAAAAAAAATGCGGATGCCAAAGAGGAACAATACAACCGTTTGCTATCATAGAGGGTACATCAACCAATGACAAAAAATGTTTCAGGCTGCTCTCATTTTAGGGAAGAAAAACCAAAGTTGAACAAAATCCCTTATTCCAAAGCTAGTTGGAAACAGTACACACAACTGGATTCAGCCGGTGGTGTACATAGTACTGCAGCCGGAGACCATAGATGACCAGCAGCTGTCAATAATACCATCTACTGAATTTGACGATAACGTTTCACCCGCAAAAGGTTGTTGCAAATGAAATTTTCCCGATCCCTAGACTTGTAACGATAAAATCAACGAAGAAAAGAAACAACAGATATTCTGTTCTCACTGCGGATGAAATTTTAGGTTAAAAAAAAGACAAGCACAGAACTTAAAAGGAAAAGGGCGGAAAAACTCAGTGACCATAGCAGAGAGAAGCGCATCGTATATACATGCACAAACGTAATCACATTTGTTTTGTTTTAAATGATGGAATGTATTTATGCGTTCAGAATCGGCTGTGTGTTCTCAGTCAAATTAAAATAGATGTTAGCTAACTAACTCCTAGCAAATTAACTATAATCTCTCTCACTCTCTCTCCTTCTGTCACCTTATCCTCCAACTAACCTTCCTTTTCTTAACTGGCATTTTACGATGTTTTTAACTTCCTCTTTAGACTTACTTTTCTACTTAATCAACTCACGCACATGTATATAACAATGTCATTTTTCAAAGTGTAAAACCAGATATATTGTACATAAATTCTAGAGAGCAGTATATATATATATATATATATATATATATATATATATATATATATATATATATATATATATATATATATATATATATATATATATATAAAACTCATTGTACTTTAAAATTTAAACTAATTATACAAAAAGGGGTTACCGGGAGGGTGGAGGATTGTAATCCCCACAGCTAGATTGTGACTGACATTCATGCTTTGATGTAGGCCATGATTGAAACTTTAAATTATAACAGAATAAAGTATCATTAAATATGATTTTGATGGAATCCCAATTGTGTTCACATAAAAAAAATAATCAATAAAAAATTAGATACCTTATTCATACGCAAAAGCCTTTTTCGTGAAGGGGGTGGGGTTGGGGATGGCGTTAGACTTTTCTCAAGAACAAGTCAGTTTCATTCACACTAATGACTTTTACCAACTTAAGAAGGTCTATGTTTCCTCTGATGTGAGGGTTCCAAGGATATCTTTTGGTGACTTCCAGACCCCTAGGAACCGATGTTTCTCCCCCCCTCCCCCCCCCCCCACCATTTTTGCCAATATATATTTTATTAGAAAACAAAGCTAATTTACAGCTGTGAGTATGTTTTGCTTGTCAATAATTTCTGTTAACCCCCCCCCCCCTCCCCTCCCCCAAGTGAGAGATCGCTTCCTACGGGCCTGCTCTATTGTATAAATTTATTAACTGAATTTAAGTAGCCCCGGACCTATCTTCTTTACATCCGCTCATACGTATGTGCATCACGGAAATCTTGTATTAAAGTGAACTACAATGTAGTACCCAATTATGTGAGTGTTCGACTCAATATGAAATGTGTCCGATTTCGATGTCTGGAATTTATCAGATCTTAAACTATATGAAGTAAATGGTTGTGTGATTCAATTAAAATTATTAGACGACTTTTAAAAAGCTCGTTAACCCATTTTATACAATCTTTTAAATTTATTTTCACACTTTCTTTTTTTTCACACTTTATTTTTTTCGGGGTTGAGGGGGTGGTGGTGGTAAAGAGATGAATTTTTCACATTATAAAGGTTCCTCATTAGTGATGAGAAAAACAAATGAACACAAGGCTGCCAGAGTTACTTCCCTTTGACATACAGTTACCTACTCAAGAAGGATAACTCAATTGATGAAGTATCAGTATTAATTTAAAAAAGCAGACGTCCGACTGACAGAAAATTACGGAAAGCCGTGTCCAAACGTATGTTAAGGTTTTTTTTTAGTTGACAATAGGCGGACTTTACAAGGGGACATTTTATTCACAGATCTGATGTCCAGTTATAGCTTGGTTATATCTGATAGATCTAGATTGGCAAAAACATTGCTGATTTGAAATAAATGAGTTGTTTTTTGTTTGTTTGTTTGTTTTTTTTTTTTTGGTTGTTTTTTTGGAGGGATGTGTAAGTTTTTAGAATTCTTTTTTTACGGGGTTTCATTTTTTTTTTCTTCCTGGAGGGAATTACTTCCGAGGAAATTCCGATCGCTGAAATTATGATCATATTTTAGTCTTGTCGTTTTTCATTGGTTGTCGTTTTGGTGATGACGTCACGATTGCTAGGCTGTGTGATGTGTTTTGGATACAGCTCATTGTTTCAGCATCAGTTGTTGAGATAAGACGTGATTTTCGCTGAGCGAAGATTTTCTGAAATATCTGATAACATACAGTTGATACAGTTACAGAAATGAACGGACAAAGCTATAAGAGGGTAATAGACATATTTATTTGCTTTTGTGAAGAAAAGTTAACGGGTGTCTGTTGCTAAGGCCAAAGGAGGAATCTAAAATATCGAACGTTTGAACTTGAGGCAAAAGACCTTTAAAGCCTAGCTAAGGTCATAGGGGCTTGTTTCCAGGATGATATATTTAATTTTTTTTGTGTGTTTTACTATGTATGTCTGAATATAAAAAAACCCCCAAAAAATCCACAATTATTTTGAGAATTTGCTGATTAAAAAAAGTACATTGTAAGCTTAAAAAAACAAACGGCAAATATCAGGGATTTTTTTAAAATTCTTATATTCAGACAGACATAATAAACACACAAAACATTAAATACACCATCCTGGAACCCAGCCCCTAATGGCTAAAATTAATTTAAACTTGGTAAATGAACATGAAATTAATAAAGTTTGGAAGAAAGATTGTCTAAGTCCTTGTCGAACTTGCAGTTTGCGGCTTTGAGCTCTTTACAACACAGAATTAAAAATTGCACAAATATCCGATAGTATTTAGATTTGCTTTTATTTTGGCTAATTTAAGAGTACATCAATATAATCTGAGGAAATGCGGGGTAATCAACATTCACTCAGACCAAAATACTCACTGGTGATTCTTACATTAATACTGTTAAGCAGAAAAAGCTAATCATTCACTTGTAAAAACAAAACCATTTATAGTAGCTAAATAATCTTTGGGAATGATTAAAGATTTAAATGTATGTACCAACAAAAGTCTTTCTTATGAAGTAAAACGGAAAGTAGCTACAAGGCAAAGGGGGCTCATCAAATGTCATTAGAGAGAGAGTAATTTGAGTTGTTCCCCTTTGACCATGCAGATAAAAGAAGTGTTCTTCATTGTTTCTCTGGATATTTATTATATATATGATATATTCAAGTACATGTTTTCCATTTCTAAAATAGTTTTTCAAAGCAAAAAATCCATAGTCTGTAACACTAACAGGGACGTAGCATTGTTTTTGAACTAGGAATTTGTTTGGGGGGGGGGGGGGTAATATGCCTGAAAAAAAAATGAAAAGCATAAAAAAACAACCTCGAAAACTTATTGTGAGGGGGCAAAAACAAAAGGAGGATCGGAATTTAGAAGAAAATTCCCATACTAAAGTAAATAGCAAAAGATTAATATTCTTGGACCCCCCCCAAAAAAAGGGGGGGCTCTCTCGGTACTTTGTGAATGTGTTATTTGATCTGAAATATTAATCATTTTAGTGCGTATTGATGTTGTTGTAGACGTGATCATTATTCTTAAAATTTGTAGGAACTAGTGAAGGACATGTTAACTCTTTTGGAGTCTTTAAAAAAAAAATGAATTTATCGTAAAGTGTTTGCGTAAAGTATTTTATTGGAATTCTCCTCTCCTATCTTTTCATATTTTTACATTTATCTGGGGCTTAATGGGCAACAGCTAGCTATCGGCCCAATGTACCATAGGAATCTCAGGAAAAGGTACAGGAAATGTTTAATTGTCCATTAGATATGTCATTGCAAGTTAGCTTGTCAAATCAGACCAAACCTTTACAAGAATAAGAATTATTACTGTTTAGATTTCTCATTTCCTTAAGTAGTATTAAAATTTTACACTTGATGGAACAGAATAACTAAAAAAAATATTTTTTGTCATTTTAGAAGAGAGTAGATGTTCAGTATGCCAAGCCGGAAGCTGCCTCGAGTATTTACAAGAGGCTGGGAGTGGACATCTTGACCACACCCACCACTTCCGGGAGACTTGAGGAGGTCTCAGTTTTGTTTTATATGTCATATATATTGATGTAAAAAAATGTAAGTTGATTTAGAATATTAATCTTCTTTAATTTATTTCATTTACAATATTCTTTTCTCTTCTCTCAACTTTCTATTTCTTTTACTGTTTGCATAAGATTGTCAGAATTGTATTTTCCACTTTTTATTGTATTTTTTAAATTCACTTTTGGCTGATTTGCAAAAAAATGGATCCTCATACATTTGTTATGTATATAATATTTTTATATAACAGGTTGAGCCACCAAGAAAGCGTTATATTCAAGCTGTCAATCAAGCAGTATTTTATAACATAGGGTCCACTCGTACAGCTGGCAGAGTGGTGCCAAATGGAGTAAGTTACGTGGAATACATGTACATGTCATAAAAAGTCTCATCTTTAGGGACTTACTTAAATATATATAGACACAAATGTTCATTAATAAGAATTTAAATTTAAGAAATACACCTATATTTGCATTCTCTTTTCAGGCGGCGAAATCTTTGTTGAGCAATGAACAAATACAACAATTCATAACCTCAACAGTTCTTCCTAATGGTCGCTCAGTCACCAGCACTGAAGCAGTCAACTCTAATGTCACCAATTGTACTGTGTATCCGTCTCAGCCAGGGACAAGGATACATCAACAGGTATGTTTATGTTCAGGTTAAGGCATTATTATTTTATAGTTTCTTATGTGCCTTTTTCAGTTACTTTTATTATATCCAAACTGCCGTACATGTAACTGTTGTTATACTCCAAACCAACTGAAGTTTGGGAGGGGGATATCATGTCCGTATGTTCATCGGTGTATCAGTCTGTCTATGCAATCCTGCCTGGGCCATTACTTTTTAATGTAGAAAAATTGTAAGGGTAATAATTTACGCAAGATTGCTTATGATGTAAAGATCTCTCATGACCTTATTAAAGGTCATTTAGGCATTTCAAGGTCACTTGTAGAATGCAAAATTCGTGCCCAGTCCATAATGTCCAATGAAGAAACACTGGAAGTTCATGCTTATACAAAGATTGCTTATGACCTACGAGCGGTCATTTGGTCCAGTTCAAGGTCACTTGTTGTTATCGGCCGCAGCAGCGGCCGATCTATTTGTGGTTGTGTTTGAATGTGCACTTGGGGGAAAATGAGACGTTATTTTTTATTCTTCGTTGGAATAATTCCTTATTGATAACAAACATAAAAGCCTTAAAAATTGCTTAAAACGAAGTATAAATATTTTGTTATAATACTGTATCAATTTGTTTTTCATTTCTCGTCAGATATTTCTTAATTTAATGATTTTACAAAAAAGTTGTTTCATAAACTGCTTCCTAACATGGGCGTGCGTGAGATATTAAACTAAAACGTATTGAGTTTCCGGTTATGAATTACAGGGCTTAAAATAATTAATAAATTGGAATAAGAACTGAATTTTGTTTTGAATTTGTACTACAGTTGCAAGTGACAATGACATTTTTTTCTGCATTTCACATACATATCTATCACATCACTGATCGGCATTATAAAGGTGACAAAAATCCAGGATATCAGCACCTGAAGCTTGTGTCCTTTTTGTCAACATTCAGACATTCAAATTCAATTATTTTAGTTATTTGTTGCATTTGTGCTTGAATCAAATAATTTGATGATAATACATTCCTATCCTTTATTGCAGTCCGATTTTCATACTAATGAATTTATTTTTATTTGAATAAAATATTTAACAATTGATCACTGAAAACTAGTGTAAAAAAATGCACAGAAAAGTAAAGCAAGTGTAAAAAATGTATCATGTACTTTTTCTACTTGAATTTTTTCTTTGGACTCTTTCTTGTGGAACTGCTTCAAAATGCCATATATTTTTGTGGCCGATTTGATACTTTGCATCAATTTAGCTTGTAATATCCTGTTCCAGCCATATTTTGCAATGGAGAAACGTTGAAAGCTCATTTCATACAAAGATTGGTTATGACCCAAGCATGTTTCCTGACCATGACCCAATCGTTAGGCATGCCATATGGTAGGATTCATTTTTGTACGAATCCGATGTCAACTTCCTCTTTATCCGTGCGTCTGTCTGTACCATACATAACAAATTTTCGTCACAGTTTTTTTCAGCAACTGCTCATCGCAGATGCTGGAATTTTTAGCACACGTACTCCTTGTTTAGTATGCCATATGGTGGGATTCATTTTTGTATTAATCCGATGTTAACTTCCTGTTTATCAGTGCGTCTGTCCGTACCATACATAACAATTTTTCGTTACAGTTTTCTCAGCAACTGCTCATTGCAGATGCTTGAAATTTTAGCACACTCTTTATTAAAGCATGCATGCAATATGATGGTGTTCATTTTAGTATGAATCTGATATCTCTGTGTCTGTCCGTAACTGAACTTGTGTTTATTCATATCAGAGTGTATATTCACATCAGAGCAGGGGTATTACTAGTGAGCGTTGGCTCACAGACTTCTTTTTATATTTCGTCATTTGTAGACTGATTGCACAAATGTGCATCCACAACTGACCTTGAATATACTGAGATCAGGACAGACTCTACCATGGACGTCCATCCAGCAGCAGTCTCAGGAGACTGTACTGCAAAAGCAAACCGAATACAACGATCAGTCTACTGTACAACAGCTGGTCTTAAACAGCCAGGGAAACATTCATCCCTCAGCTCAGAATGGTTTTGCTGTCCACGTTCTAAACCCGACTTTGACACAGGCAGAGCTACAACAGCCAATCTCTGCAAATGAACTTGTAAGTACTTATATCCAATGTTCAAGAAACATGATGTTCTGTTTATTTCATTTTCAAATATAAAAAGTTTTGATTGGACATTGATGTACAATGAATTTCCTCATTAACTCACACTTTTTGACCCCACTTTCACTAAATGTGGGGGGTATTAATTCAGTCTATCTGTTCATCTGTCTGTGTGCAATTCTTTAGTTTTTGATATCTCATCCTTAAACTATTGCTATAAAATTTTATATCATTACTCATATGACTTGAAAAATGTATCAATTTTGAGGGCAAAAGGTCAAGGGTCATGATATGAAATTCATATAATGCATGAAATGGTTTACAGATCATAAATTTTGTTTTCTTTGAGCTTTGGACTTTTGGATAGGAACTGTACACCATATTCATAACTCCTCATGACTGAAGGAAAACTTATTTCGTAGTCAAATTGTCAAAGGTCAGGGTCAGAAAATAGCTTAAGTTTTCAGTGAGTTTTTGCGATGAAATATTATATCATAAATATCTATGGCTTAAAAAGATCACTCTTGATTTTGAGGTTGAAAGGTCATGGCCAGAAATGCACACATTGCAGAAAATGATTTCCAAATAATAATTTTAGATCTCTTTGAGGTTTTGCAACAAAATATCATCGCTCCTTATCGTCCAAAGAAGGACCTTATTAATTTTGAGGTCAAATGTCAAAGGCCAAGGTTAGAAATTCATATATTGCATAAAGCAGTTTCCAGATAACTTATGCTGAACTTCTTGCAATGAAATCTAAGATTATAACTTTTTTTCTAATTTAAGACCTCTGTTGTTTTGAGGCCAAAAGGTAAAAAGTCAAGGTTAATCAATCTTTTCCCTCTCCATCTGATTTGTATGGTCTTGACTTCAACCCTCTTATCTTGTCTTGAAACAAGGGACCAAAATTCCCTGAATTAGCTTGTTATATCTTTACACAAGTACTGATGACACTCCCTTCTGCATTAAAAATGTATCATATTGAAAACTTACTCTAAATATTTTATCAAGAATTATCTTGAATTTCCACCAAAAACAGACCAATTATCTGAAGGTCTCCAACTTTAAATACAAAGTCTGGCTTAAAAGTAAAACTACAGTAAAGTAAATGTACAAAATAAAAATTAGTAAAATGTATAATTTTGAAAAAATACTTTAGATATAAAGAATAACGTTGTTGTGTCATTATAAACAGATTTTACCCAGAAATTTTGAGGTCCAAGGTTATACACCGATCACTGTGCCAGATGAATGGGTTAAGAGAACAGAGCTACAAGTTCCTACCAACATTATCAGTGTTCCATCAGTTGCTGGAGTGTATGACAAGACCATTCATCTGCCAACCCAAACCATCCATGGAGTCAGTAGTAACTATGAGGGCACATGCTCATCTGTGGTGACACACAAACCTAATGTGACAACTGGACTATCAGCTGATTATTCCCAGCCATCTGATCAGATTGTAAGTCTCTGGTTTTAGTTTTGTGTATCTCTTTAGTGTTTTTTGTGCTGAAAGTCGGTAACATTTTTTGACAAAAAAGTACATAATTTAATTTTTTTTAATCAGAAATCATGGAGTCTGGGCCCACAGATTGTACCTACATTTGTTGCACCAATGGAGGCACAAACAAAGACCAAAACAAACAAGTCAAAGAGAAGGACTCCTAAAAGTGTTTCTCAAGGACCATATGCAAATGCAGACATTGGCCAACATATAACTTCCAACAGCTCAATGACTAAAGGGAGTAGAAATTTGGCTAAAATAGATGTGAGACCAAAACAGCAGAGCACTGGAAAGCAAATGGTTCCAACCTTGCACCAGACTGAGAGTGATAATTCTACCAGGCCTGCCCCAGCATCTGTAAATAAGAAAAAGGGCAAGGTACAAAGAAAATTTACAAATGAATCTGTTTTAAATTGGTTAGAATTTTTCTGATTGTTAAAAGATTTATTCAATGAATTTGTAATTTCCTCTTTATTTTCTAGGAGGGAGTCAAACGCATTGTTGTTCCATCCAAAGTTCAAACAGACCCAGTGGAATATCCTCCATATGTTGCCAGAATTATGAGGATCCTGAACAGGCAAAAACAGGTAGGTGTGATAAATACCTAAAACAATGGAAATATTTAATATAAATAATGGTCATAGTAAAAAAAGAAAAAAAATCAGAATTTTAAATAAGCGTATGTTGGATGCTTTCAGGGTCAGATGGAAGCTAATGATAATAAAAGGGAAAGTGTGGATTCCACATCCAAGCAAATAGCCCCTTCTGATAGAAATGATAAGGATAGAGCTGATTCTACTCCTAAACAAGCTACTACTGCTGACAAAAAGGCAACAAACACTGTGGATTCAAGTCTTAAACAAAAGGATCCACAAAGTGTTGTATCAAAAACTCCTGTCCCATCAAAGCAGTCCGCACTGGAACAAAAGGTAATGTATAGAGAACATAATTTGACAGTGTGTGAAATAACATAAAATATTTCAAATATGTTGAATGAAAATAAGTAATTTGTTTTAAATAATTTCAGCACAAGACTTCGTCTGGTAGTGTTGTTCAGAAGTTCAATGAGAAATGTAAACAATTGAAATCTGGGTCCAAAAAAGAGCCAATGTCTATCAAAAAGGTATAAGGTAGCCTTATGGATTTTATTGAAACAAGTTATGAAAGTATATTTGACCTGAGAAAAGATTTAACTGCAAATGTGCTTACATTTTGCATTGGCTTTACCTTTATCATTTAATAATCAATTATTCTAAAAAATTTCATCTTAGATTAACATACATTATGAAATATGCTTAACAGACACTTCCAGAGGACTACAGACCAGTGGTTAACACAACCCTTTTACTAGATGACTTGTCACCTGACAGTTTTACACTGTTTAAAGCAGACAATTTCTATGGACCAGAGATTCTTGTCACTTCTGACTCTCACTGCTTTGTGGTGTCTGTGCCTTTCTTCTAACTGGACAATAGAGACTTCTGAATGTGGAGATAGTGCACATTTAGTGAAGGAACATTATATTAGTGAACTACAACCACAGTCTTTCATTAAAGCTTCTGTGATATTTATTTTGAAAGTACTTTTGACTTTTGAAAAATACTTTTTAGGCTGATTTTATATTTGTGTATTGTGTTTTGGAGCTTTTCCATTTATTTTTTGTTATCATGTGCCAAATGAATCGTAAATTTCGAGTCACTCTAATAGTATCATGATTTTTTTAGATTTTTTAAAAATAAATGCATGTTTGAAAATCACTTTTGTGGATTATTATTATTTTTGCTGATAAAATTAATTCCTTGCTTTTGATTTGTCTTACACCGGAAGAAAAATATTCAGAAAACTTGGCAGATTCAATATTTACTTCTGACAATGTACAAATCACAATTAAACCAGTCTGAAACTAGAATGAACTTGAAGATGACATCTCTTAATCTAGTTTAGTTCTACAACATTTTATGGCTTGGATCTGAATATAAGATTTTTCCATCAGTGTCTTTGATCTTGACTTACTATCCACGATAAAGTTACTTTATCCTGTAAAACTATGTTTAGACCTTCACTTTACAAACGAACTAATAGATGTCCTAGTCTGTTTCATGATCACTGGGCCAGCTTTTGGGTCAGATTTTATAAATACCGTAAAGCAGGTTATTTGTTCAAGCTACCTATTTTCGCGATTAACTCTAAATAGTTTTAAAAATGATACTTTTAATACTATAAGTATTTATATATCAACATAAAAAAATTTTGATTTATGAAAGGGAAATTGTAAATTGCCAATAAATACCTCAAAACTGTATTGTAAACAATGACTGGCGAGGAATTCAAACATCCAACCAAGATATTGTGTTCGGCATCAAAATAGAGAGCACGGGGATCTGGAGGACACAGTTCCGGTGTGAGAAGCAAACATATAGAACATGTCCGTCCTCGGTCAGTAGATGGATACTGGAGAAATTAACAATGCCGATGAAATTATAGCTGTTACACACTGAAATATTTCCAAGAAGATTGGTATAGATTCCACGGGGATGAAGCGTAGTCTGAGAATCATATACAGTGTAAGAGAATCTATACTGATCTGGTCACCACAACTACTTTACCTCTAAATAAACTTGAATCCAACGCACATTTTCTGTAATATAGCTTCGTATAGGTTTTCTTCACCAACCTTTTGAATTTTAACCCTATCTGATTATTAGCTCACCTGAACCGAAGTCTCTTGAAACTGAGCTCTTTAGCTCTTCTGAGCCAAAGGCTCAAAGAGCTAATGCTATGGCCATTTGTGCGGTGTGCGTAAACTTTTTAGAATATGGGCCATAACTCAAGAACCCCTTGGCCAATTATTGTCAAATTTGTCACAGGGTATCCTTGGCCCAAGGGCTCTCTGTGACCCTTAAACAAGGGGAGATAATTAGGAAAATAGAAACAAAAGTACTAGTTGCTAAAAAATCTTCTTCTCAAGAACCACTGGGCAGATTATCACCAAACTTATATACAAAAGGATGAGGATATGTTGTAAATTAAAAATTGTTCAAGGCATCACCCTGGGGCAAAGGGCGTGGTCTCAAGGTCACTTCAAAGTTGACCAAAAATTACATTTTATTAAAATGTTGATATTTTACTTACTATAAAGACTAGGATCATCAAATCTTGTCAATTGATGCATCTAAGGACCGCATATCATGTTGACTCAAAAGTAGGTCACAGTGACCTACTTTTTAAATTTTGCAGCCATTCTTTTTCAAAATGATTTAGAGGCATATTTTGAACAATTTAAGGCCTATGATCATCAAACTTTGTCAGTTGATGTATCATATGTCCTTAAAGTACGTCAACTAAAAAGTAGGTCATCTTGACCTACTTTTTGAATTTTATGGCTAATCTTTTTCAAAACAATTAAGGTCATTAATTCGAACAATGAGAGGTTTAGAATCATTAAATCTTGTAAGATGATGCATCTTGGGGCCATAAAACATATTTATTAAAAAGTAGGTCACAGTGACCTACTTTTTGAACTTTGTAGGCATTCGATTTCAAAGCGTTTTAGAGGCATAATTTGGATATTTTAAGGCCTATGATCATAAAACTTTGTAAGTTAATGCATCTTGGGTCCTCGAAAAACGTCAACTGAAAATTAGGTCACCGTGACCTACTTTTCAATTTATATGACTATAATTAAATATTTTAGGTACTAAATGACTTAGAATCATCAAACTTTGTCAGTTGATGCATCTTGAGTCCTTGGAGTACAACAACTGAAAAGTAGGTCACTGTGACCTACTTTTGAAATTTTCTGGCTGTATTTAATATTTTCGGGTACTATTTGGCTTAGAATCATCAAAATTTGTCAGTTGATTCATCTTGGGTCCTTGGAGTAGGTCAACTGAAAAGAAGGTCACCGTGACCTACTTTTCTATAATTAAATATTTCGGGTACTAATTGGCTTAGAATCATCAAACTTTGTCAGTTGATGCATCTTGGGTCCGCAGAGTTAGTCGACTGAAAAGGAGGTCACTGTGGTCTATTTTTGAAATTTTATGGCTTTATTTAAATATATCAGGTACTTATTGGCTTAGAATCATCAAACTTTGTCAGTTGATGCATCTTGGGTCCTCAAAGTATGTCATTTGAAAAGTAGGTCACTTTGACCTACTTTTGAAATTTTATGGTTATAATTTTAAAAATATTTTATGTATCAATTGGTTTAGAATCATCAAACTTAGTTGATGCATCTTGGGTCCTCAGAGAATGACAAGTGATAAGTAGGTCACCGTGATCTACTCTCAGGCACTAATTGGTTTAGAATCATCTTGGGTTCTCAGAGTGTTTCATCTAAAATGTAGGTCATGATGACCTACCTTTGGAATTTCAAGGGTTTATCTAAATATACAGGATACTTAGAGGCTTCAAATAGTATAGAAGTGATAGATTGTACAGTTTATCAGAAGAGCGATTCAAGGCCCTTTGGCCTCTTGTTTGATCAAAATTTGTCCGTTGTCTGTCGTTGTCGGAAACTTGACATTTTTATCTTCTTCTCCAGAACCACTGGGCCAATTTCAACCAAACTTTCCAAAAAGCATCCTTGGGTGAAGGAAATTTAAGTTTCTTCACAGGAACTGCCACGCCTTCTTTCAGGGAGAGATAATCAAGAATTTTTGAAAATTTGGTGGCATCTTTTAAAAATCTTCTTCTCAAGAACCACTGGGCAAGAAAAGACGAAACCTGTGTAAAAGCTTCATTACAAACTCTAGTTTCAAGTTTGTGCATATCATAACCCTCAAGGGTAGGGCGGGGCCAGAAGAAGGGGTCAAATTTTTACATGGGTATATATAGGGAATGTCTTTAAAAATCTACTTTTTGAGAACAACAAAGCCATGATTATTCATATTATTATAGAAGCATCCTCAGTTAGTGTTGATTCAAGTTTGTTCCAATCATGGCCCCTTGGGGTAGGGCAGGGACACAACAGGGGTTCAAAGTTTATCATAGTAATATATAAAAAATATCTTTAAAAATCTTCTTCTCAAGAACAGCTAAGCCATTATTAGTCATGTTAATATAAAAGTGTCCTCAGGTAGTGTAGATTCAAGTTTTTTTCGATTCATGACCCCTGGAGGTTGGGCGCAAACATAACAGGGTGCCAAAGTTTTACATTGGAATATATAGAAAATATCTCTAAAAATTCTGTTCTCAAGAACAGCTGAGCCATTTTTAGTTATATTAATACAGAACTATCCTCAGGTAGTGTAGATCTAAGTTTGTTCAAATCATGACCCCTAGGGGTATAGGACAGGGCCACAACAGTGGGTTAAAGTTTTTCATGGGAATATTTAGGAAATACTTTTAAAAATCTTCTTCTTAAGAACAACTAATCCATAATTAGTCATATATAATATATACAATACATATAGAAGCAACCTTAGGCGTTGTAGAATCAAATTTGTTCAAATTATGACCCCCAGGGGTTGGGCTAGGGGCACAACAGAGGGTCAAATTTTTACATAAGAATATATAGGAATCATCTTGAAAAATCTGCCCAAGAACAGCAAAGCCATGATTAGTCATATTATTATAGAAGCATCCTCAGGTAATGTAAATTCATTTATTTACATCTAGGGTGGGTAGGGTTGGGCCACAATGAGCGATCAGAGTTTTACAAAGGAATACATAGATCAGCAAAGCCATGATTGGTAATATTGATATAGAAGCATCCTGAAGTAGTGTAAATTCAAGTCCTCCCCCACCCCCTGCCGTAAACTTTTCAGTAATGAACTGTTTTCTGCTTTTTTTTTCTTCTAGCCAATGTGTTCAGGTGAGCGATGTGGCCCATGGGCCTCTTGTTTTATTTTTATCTCGTCGAAGTTGAAATGGTCCACTATGAACTTTTTCATCCCAACTAACAAATCTCCATTGAAATGAGAAGAGAAAATGTATAGTGGTTTCCAGTGAATTGAAAGACTTACAATTGGGTTTGTGAACTACTAATACATACCTCCGTTAACCAATGAGGTGTCGCTTCATGTATCCACGTAAATTAATATGCCATCTCTGGTGACTGCATGGTATCCAAGGTCATTTTTGCTGGTGGACAAAGAAGAATTTCCATAAGACATAACGATATTCCCCAGAAACCTCTAATGGCAAAGGGAGACAAATAGATAAAAAAAAAAAAAAAAAAAAGACAAATAGAACGAAAACTCTTGAAACATTCAATTACGTTTTTTCTCTTTAACGGAAAACTACACATGTATATGAAATATAAGAATTTTCCGTTTTGAAGAGGTGTTTAACTCAACTTTATTACATAAATCAAGTTCATTTGCAAAGTTTGATATAACTTGTTCGGTAATTAGGGGTATTTTCGATTCAACCTCTGACATAAAATGAATATAGAATATAATAAAAGTAAGGAAACACGCAAATGCACAATAAACATTAAACAAAACAGTGTCATCTAC